AAAGCAGGGGATGCTTTAGGGCGGGGCTACACGGTGATTGACAGGTCGACACCACGGCATGTTTACCTGCACACTGCAGCATCAGGTTACAGATCAAACAGTTCAATGGAAACCAGTACGAGATTGTTGGTGAAGTGAACACACAAAGACCTGTGTGTGTGCGTGTGTGTGCGTGTGTGTGTGTGTGAGAGACATACTTCTCATTGCCGCTCCTTTTTGATCAACATCGTTTTGGTGTTGTCGGGGCTCGTTGCCGAAGCAACTCCTCTCTTCGCGGAGGGACGGTGACATGCAACAACACACACACACACACACACACACACACACGCACATTTTTGGATATAAAAGTTTTTTTTTTTTTTTAAGTGATCAGTTTTCAGTCATTTATTGTTAGACAGGTAAAATCAGCCGACGGCTGTAAAAGATCAACAAACATCCTGTTTGTGATCAATGCTGAGAGACAAGATTAGCTTAGCTTATCTAAGCTAAGCTAACTAGCTGCTGGCTGTAGCTTCATATTAACTCCAGACATGAGAACGGTTTCACTGCGACTCTCAGAAAAGAACGAGAAGAGGAGGATGGGGGGGGGGGAGGTGATACACAACAATGACATCACAATAGAGGGGCTGGCGGCACGTGATTGGCTGAAAAGTGGAAAAAAGTGTCACAAAATTGCTGTGAAAGAGCTTTTTAACATGAAGATATCAGATAAACTGTGTAATATTTTACAATAGTGAGTTTTAATAATTTACCGTACTGTGATGGTTCATTTATGTGTTTTAGTATGAACTTTAAATGACTCCTGATTAAAATTAGTATTCAATATTGATCCTTCGGCCATCATGTCAGGAGTGTGTTAGCGTTAGCATTACTGTAATTTGGCAGCGTGTTTTTCAGGTTGTTAGTGCTGGACAGGAAGTGATATCATCCCTGGGTTACCATGGAGACAAACTGGGACACAGTAAAAACAACTGGGAGTGATGGCATTCCATGGGGGGGGGGGTTAGTACCATTAAGGAGATACAAACACACTGAACAGCCTCTCAGTGACGTACAAAGTTAAGGTTTTCAAGGTTCAGTAACTTCATTTATAAAGATTGTGCACAAACATGACCTCAGCTTTGGCATTCAGAATTAAAAAGTCATCGTAAAACAAAATCAATAAATAGTCAAGAGACACAAAAACAAGTGTTTAAATTAAATAAAGATCGTTGTGCATGGCTACAAAAAAAGAGAGAAAAAAGAGAGAGTGGGATTAGATTGTTCCGGGTCACAGCTCCATCCAGGACGTTGCACCTGAGCCCAGTGACACCCGAGACGCCGGTCTGGACCCAGACCTGGACCCGGGTCTGGATCCCGGCGGTCTGGAGCTGGTCAGCAACCTCCTGCCCAGACTGAGGCCTTCCTCCCAGGGCTCGGAGGCCTCTCCGCTGGCCCGGCTGACGAACACCACGGGTGGCTGGGTGGAGGCCATCTCAAACCTCAGCTCCACGGTGCTCTTATTACCGCGGAAGGAGGAAGAGGAGGAGGTGGCCTTCCTCTTCGTCCTGGGCTGGGGGGACGGGAGTGGGAACGCTGGGACGACTCTGTGTGAAGACGAGGAAGCGTCTCCGGAAGCGGAGGATGAAGAGCCCAATTTGGCCAACGCCACGGGGATCTCCTCCAGAGACTCCGCAGAGTCCGAGTGGTACTCAGCAGGAGGGGCGGCGGCCTGGACGGGACCCGGGACCGGGACGGGGGCCAGGGGGGGCAGGGAGGCCCTCAGAGGGAATGCTGGGAAAGGAAGCCGGGGACCCAGAGACACAGAGGACATACTGGTGGGCTCTAATGGGAGGAAAACACACCAACAAATGTCCATTTATGAACCAACGTTTGGTCATTGTACTGGTTATTATACTGGTCATTGTACTGGTTATTATACTGGTCACTGTAAACATGTTTAATGTGTGTAAACTTGTGCAAATGTGTGTTTCTGCTGAAAACAGAGACTTTGTTGTTTCAGGTCAAAGGAAGGCATTACATGAGTGACGGTCCTCAAAAGTTTAGAAAGACAGACATGCATGTGTGTGTGTGTGTACCGGGGGGCGGGGCTGAACCCGGGCCACGCCCTCTGGTGACCTGTACTGGAACTTTACGGACCTTCTTCTTTTTCTGTAAAAAGCACAAAGACACACTCTCACTGGCCAATCAGGAGACAGCATTCATGTGTGACGTCACACCGATTATTGACACATGAGTGATGTCATAGACGAAGATGAGAACCAGAAGGACACAAACACATTAACGCTTCACATTAATTACAACACACACCCCATCTCTTCTGTGTGTATGTGTGTGTGTGTGTGTGTTTACCTGTGTGTGTGTGTGTGTGTGTGTGTGTGTGTTTACCTCTGTGTGTGTGTGTACCTGTTTGTGTTTGTGTGTGTGTGTGTGTGTTTACCTCTGTGTGTGTGTACCTGTTTGT